TCATGAGCTTCTTTGGCTTCAAAGATACTCTTGACTTTCTTGCTACCCGTGTTTGAGCTCAGCCCATTCTTCAAGGCCCCGGTCAAGTACATGGTCTTACTGAAAGCCTTTATGGATTTATTACCCACTATAATCTATTGTTCAGGACACTCAGTGTCTGACCTTTCCTTGGGCGATTAGTACTGGCCTGTGAGCACCTGTGACAGGTGTTTAACAGTTGTGTGATGGCACCAACATGGGTTAGGATCCCTGCCCTAACATTCACTGTCTGTCTCTGTGTTCCATGGTAGTCTTGTGAAGATTATGACAGTCTCTGTACAGCTTCTGCCTTGACAGTGTGGGGATTGAAGAAAGCAGTGCTTCCCAAAATGTGGGCCATTCTGGCCAGGTTGAATTAGAGACGTGCGAGCGGGCCCAGGAATCCGCATTTTAGCAGGAGCCCACGTGATTCTTAGTGTTGGGTGAAATTTGAGAACCTTGAATTCCATCTCTAAGCCCCTGCAGATTGCTGACATTGTTTGATAATCCAGGACATCATTGCTCTAATGGTCCTCTCACACTTAAAGGTGCAGAGCACCATCTGTTGATGCTCACTCCTCTGAGAGCTTGAGGAAGGCTGTTGTTTTGAATTTGGACAGTACACAGCAGGGAGAGCGTAAGTATTACAGGGACTCGATAAAGAATACATTTTATACGTAGTCTAAGGTGCCAGTTCTAGATATAGATGGTGGGAAAATTCAGTCTCATTGCTGTTTAAACAAGCAAAACATATTGCTTGTCATTGGTTGCTTTTGGTTTTATTATAATTTTTTTTTCTTTTCCTTTCATATTCTTCTGATGAGGCAGGAATTATTGGTGATTGGCCAAAGGAAAAAGTAACTGTCTGGAAGATCACTTCAACTGCACTGACCAAATCACACCATTTAATTTATAGCCACTCAGGAGATCAGATGCTGCATTAGTCTTCCTTAAGTTATTATGAGCTAGTTTTATAAAACTGTAATTAGAACGTGTCATATAGTACATTCCGTATGCTTTTGATTTATTCTCCTTTTCAGAAGCTGTTTGTATTTGACTTTTTATTAATTGCACAGGGATTTAGTAATTGATAGAAAGCCAGATAAAGAAACAAATTTGTCCACTATTAATGTGCCTTTAAGTTATTATTAAAAGTTTTATACTCATGTCAGATTGGGTAAAGACAAAATATTAAATTCTTGGTAATGTTAAATGTGTCTAAACCTACAGGTTTCTTTTCCCCCCTCCCTCTGCTCCCCTGTCCCCCCACACCCTGGTACTTTTCCACCTCTTAACTGATGGGTCTCTTAGGGTTTCATAGAGGCCTACTGGGTCACTAATTGCTAGGAAATACACTGATGTTTCCTCTGTCCGTCACAAATATATTATTCGAAAAGTATGGCTACTGATAAAATAGATTAATTTTTTTTCGTGGTAGCTAGACTAGGGTTTAAGTCTATTTTAAGTTTATAAAATCTTTTTTTTTTAATGTTTTTTATTTGTTTCTGAGAGAGAGAGAGACAGCATGAGCAGGGGAGGGTCAGAGAGAGAGGGAAATACAGAATCTGAAGCAGGCTCCAGGCTCTGAGCTAGCTGTCAGCACAGAGCCCGAAGCGGGGCTTGAACCCAGGAACCGTGAGATCATGACTTGAGCCAAAGTCGGACACTTAACCGACTGTACCACCCAGGCACCCCTATTTTAAGTTTAAATTACATCATTTAAAAATTAAGATGTATCAGTTTCCATTTGTGTTTTTTTTTTTTTTTTGTTTTTTTTTTACAAAACCAACTTGGTTTTTTGTTTTCAAAAAAAAAAAAAGCTTTTCTGTTCCATCTCCAATTTGCTTTTCTTTGCACACATTATAGGTCCAAATAATGAGCCATTGCTTTATGTTAACACAAATTTTTTTTAAAAATGTGTAATATACCGTTTTGTATGCTGTGAGATAAGCTTAACAAGATTTGTATATAATCTATAAAATTTAGTTTTTTAAGCTACTAAAGTTTGATCCTTTTATACAGAAAAATGGGATTGTGGCATTTATCCATCTTAAGTCTTTTTAAATTGAAATAAAGATCAAGGCTGAGAAGTTCTACCTCTTAATATTTTCATGCTATGAATATTAACTTCCTAGAACATATAGCATAGATTTGGATATAATGTTTATAGCCCAGACTTCTGGAGTTATGCAGAATCATTCCAGCGACTCTCAGTTAACCCTTTGTTTTCCTTAGAATCTTTAAATCATGGATTAGAAGACCGTTTATGAGTTAGATAAGCCAAGTAACACTTTTTCACTGTTCACTATTACTTTAAAATTATAAACTGTATACATTCTCTGGCTGTTATCAGTAACATTACTCTGCATTGTTTTATAAAATCTTGTTACTACTCTAAACCCTAAACTTAAAAACATTTGTTTTTGTTACATATTTGATTTCTCTGACTCAAAACCATTTATTTGGATGAACGTAACAATTACAACATTCTCTTCTAGGCCTGCATTGCCTCACTTCTGTACACATTTCTTGGGTGTCCTTATGTACTCTCCTGGTATTCAACAACGTCTGTATATACTGGAATGACTTCCAAATAGGTATCTTTGGCTTTCCTTCCTGAACTCAAGACCCATATTATTCACCTACAGACATCTCCAACCAGCGTGGCTGTCCATGTAGTAAAAGTAAAAACTAAACTCGTTATCTTTTTCTCTAGTCTTAAACAGTGCTACAGTGTTTGTCATTTTGTGTTTCATAGTAACATAGTATAAATTCATGTCTTGAAAAATACAGGTAGTGGAGTTAAATTTGGAGGCAATTTTTAGCTTTGCTTTCAAGTAACCATTGTTTTACTGAGGAGAGATGGATATGTGTGTGTGTGCTATGTCAATAATGATGCGGAGAACACAGTTAAAACATCCAAGAGGAGACAGAGGCCTGGTTTGGGCCAATATTTTATGAATGAGCATTGATAGGCCTTTGTAGCTAGAAACAAAATTGTGAAGAAATTAATTGAATGGACTGTATAACAAATTTTAAGACATTTAGAAGTGAAATAGATTAAAGCTAGAGATAAAAATCCCATCATTTGAAAAATATTGATAATTTAAAAATAATAGTTTTTATATTAAAATATAGTAAATATCTCTATAGACAGATAAAATCCTTTTTGATGGACCATAAAGGAAATTAAATATAATGTAAGTTAAGCCGGACTTGCTGTTAGGAATACTTGGTTTAAAATTCTTATTTTGAAACTAATTTAAATTGATTTGAAGGTAAATTGGTTTTAAACAGATTTTCTTTAGTGAGTTGATTTTCGGTCTATTAGTTTGTAGCCCGTATAAATATACCATATTTCGCTAAATGTAAAGTCATACTGTAATATATGTTAAGGAAAAAAATGCTTACACTTGATGACATAGTGTGTTTTTATACTTAGAATTTTTATTTTTATTTGTTTTTACTGAAAGAACGCTTTTATACTTCTTGATATTTAGATACAGATTTTAAAAAACTATGTATTACTCTTATATATGTATATATGTATATACATATATATATATATAATATAAAAGAAGTTGTAAGTGAAACCTGTTAGTTTGTTCCTAAAACTTAACTCCTATCATTCTGCATTACAAAACATATGTTAATTTCTGAGATGTTAAAATACAGAATGTATATCCATAGATTCCATGAAAGGAAGTATATCATGGGTGTGGAGGGGAAACTGGGCTGCTGTTTTAGGTTTGGACGTTGTCAATCATGAAGTGGCTGTGCAGGAGGTCACCCAGGGAGGGGAGAGCAGGACAGAAGGGAAGGAAGGTGGGACTCTGGGAACAGTAGCATTTTCTGACCCAGGTTCCCAGGAGGGAGTTTGAAAAGGAGTGAGCTGGGAAGCGGGAAAGAACCTGACTCGTGTCTGCAGAACGACAGAGTGAAGGGGTTTCAGTGAGGTGGTGGCGGAAATGCCAGACAGGACATTTTAGAGCTTGGGAGTGTGTGTTCACTTCAGAGTTTGGGAAGTAAATGAGTAGAACTTTCTACAGTTGTTTGGCAAAGAAGTGTGATGTTTCCTTTCTTTGCATTAATTTTGGATTATTTTATACGCAGTACAGGTAAGTGATACTCAATTAGTCTGTATGTTTTCAGTTTTGCTAATGCTAAATTTAAAATGTTACTGTTTATTTGTTTGTGGGAAAGAAGAAACCAAGGAGTAGAATAATATTTTTGCCTATTGTCTTTCATTTTTTATGAAAATAATCTGAAAGTGCCTAAAGATTCTTTGTTCAATCTACTTCGTTTTACAAATGAGAAAAGTGACTCTGAAAACTTATGTGATTTGCTCTGTTAATACATTTAGTTCACGGCAAAGGTGAGAATTAGATGTGTTTTGTATCTTTTTAAAAATTTTTTAAAGTTTATTTATTTTGAGAGACAGAGCACATGCACACGAGCAGGGGAGGGGCAGAGAGACAGAATTCCAAGCAGGCTCCAGGCCTCAGCACAGAGCCGAATGTGGGCCTTGAACCCACGAAACTGTGAGATCGTGACCTGAGCTCAGATCGAGAGTCAGAGGCTTAACTGAGTGCGACACTCAGGCGCCCCTGGGTATGTTTTCTAAACCATGTTTCTGTCGGATCTGCTGTGCTGTTTCTCTTGTAAGGTGGAGCCTTACCTTGTGGCAATGTCTCTCACTGGATAACTGTACTTTAGCATAGAAGTAAACAGCTTGTTTTAGGTTAGTAGTGGAGAATATTAGAGAATATAATAAGTATCATGAAGCAGGAAGAACTGATAAAATCTTTTTAAAGTTTAGAAATGTATATATTTTAAATCTTTTAATTTTCAGCAAATGGCTACGATCTTTTCCTCCAATAACAGCCTGAAAAAGTATATTTGAATATCAGTTTTATAGAAAATCCTGAGAGTAGCTTCATATTTTGGAGTAACATAATGTTCTGTTTGTTTGTTTTTAATAGAAAAAATGAATGCACCAAACCAGCCTCCACACAAAGACACTGGAAAAACTGTTGAGAATGTGGAGGAATATAGCTCTAAGCAGGAGAAGAAGATCCGAGCGGCGCTTAGGACAACAGAGCGCGACCATAAGAAGAATGTGCAGTGCTCATTCATGTTGGATTCAGTGGGTGGGTCATTGCCCAAAAAATCAATTCCAGATGTGGATCTTAATAAGCCTTACCTCAGTCTTGGCTGCAGCAATGCTAAGCTTCCGGTCTCCGTGCCCATGCCGATAGCCAGACCTGCACGCCAGACTTCTAGGACTGACTGTCCGGCAGATCGCTTAAAGTTCTTTGAGACTTTACGACTTCTGCTAAAGCTTACCTCAGTCTCAAAGAAGAAGGACAGGGAGCAAAGAGGACAGGAAAATACGTCTGCTTTCTGGTTTAACCGATCTAATGAACTGATCTGGTTAGAGCTACAAGCCTGGCATGCAGGACGGACCATTAATGACCAGGACCTCTTTTTATATACAGCTCGTCAAGCCATCCCAGATATTATCAATGAAATCCTCACTTTCAAAGTTAATTATGGGAGCTTTGCCTTTGTTCGAAACGGAGCTAGTTTTAATGGTACTTCAGTAGAAGGGCAGTGCAGGGCCCCTCACGGAACCAAGGTTGTGGGTTACTCAACATATCACGAGCACCTCCAACGCCAGAGGGTGTCATTTGAGCAGGTGAAACGGATAATGGAGCTGCTGGAGTACATAGAAGCACTTTATCCATCGTTGCAGGCGCTTCAAAAGGACTACGAAAAATATGCTGCAAAAGACTTCCAAGACAGGGTGCAGGCACTCTGTTTGTGGCTGAACATCACAAAAGACCTAAATCAGAAGTTAAGGATTATGGGCACTGTTTTGGGCATCAAGAATTTATCAGACATTGGCTGGCCAGTGTTTGAGATCCCTTCTCCTCGATCATCCAAGGGCAACGAGCCGGAAGATGAGGGTGATGACACAGAAGGGGAACTGAAAGAGCTGGAGAGTAGTGCGGACGAGAGTGAAGGAGAACAGACCTCGGGTCCGAGGGCCCCGGCACCCTCACGGCCCGTTGACTGCGGTGTCAGCATCCGCTCGCAGGGCCGCGTGTCTAAGAAGCCTGAGAGGCTCGAGTCTGAGGATGATTCTGTTGGCTGGGGAGCCCCAGACTGCAGCCCAGAAACAGGCTTTAGCAGACATTGTCTGACTTCTATTTATAGACCATTTGTAGACAAAGCACTGAAGCAAATGGGGTTAAGAAAGTTAATTTTAAGACTTCACAAGCTGATGGACGGTTCCTTGCAAAGGGCCCGTATAGCACTGGTAAAGAGTGACCGTCCGATGGAGGTAGGTTTCTGGTAGGCATTAGCATGGTCTTGTCCGTGGCTCCATTATTACAAGGGGCTGTGTTGATTGTTGGTACTTTCATAGTCTTGATATTTTTAAGCATAAGTGGTAGTTACTGTAACTTGCAGATTTAAACATTCTCTAAAGTACTGAGATAAATGGAGAAGTGGATCTATGAAAACTGTATGAAATTCAGTGAATTAAGTATAAGGTGGTGTGTGGAGGGGAAAAAAAAAACCTAGCCATATAAATATAGGATGGAGAAGGACAGTCTAGGTATAAATAAGGAGGGAAGAAAGCCACAATCATGGGTGACCACAAGCTGAATATGAGTCAGTAAAAAGTCAACATGATGCTAAAATATTTTTAAATGAATATGGCATCCAAGGTCATGGATATAGTTCTTGCTGTATTCGTCACAAATAGCTTAGTCTCTTTTGAGTAGCATGTCCAGTTTGGGCTACTGTGTTTTAAAGAAGTGTGAGTTGTGGAGAGATGTAAGAATGGCCGAAGGAAAAAAGAGTTTACTTACGTATTTGGCAAAGTTAGTGATTAGCACAGACAATGGAGTTTCATGGGAAGTCTTCGTTATTATCAAGTCTACACTCTGGTATGTGAAGATTTCTGGGAAAGGAGTGTGCCTCCTAGAAAAAACAGTTGGAAAACAGTACAAATTTCATTTTGATAGCTTGAGGTCTCAGAAATTCTTCACTGTTACGGGTGTTAAAACCAGAAAGTGGAACGTTGTTGGATACTGTTTTTTAGAGTAAATGAGCAATTTTTCTCTGTGTTGAGTCTGCATGTTCATCTGGCTAAAAGCAGAAGCACCCAGTTCTTTGAGATCCCTTGCACCTGTGTTAGGTTGTAATTCTGAAGTTTAGTAGCTATGTATATATGTATGTATGCACCTTTTCTGTCTAAAAATTTTTTTAAATGTTTTTTTAAATTTTTGTTTTAATTTTTTCTCTTTTGAGAGAGAGAGAGACCATGAGCAGGAGAAGGATGGAGAGAGACACACACACACAGGATCTGAGGCAGGCTCAGGCTCTGAGCTGTCAGCACAGAACCTGACATGGGGCTTGAACCCACACACCATGAGATCATGACCTCAGCTGAAGTCAGACAGACGCTTAACTGACTGAGCTACCCAGGCATTCCTATTTTTATTTTTTAAACTTCAGTTTATACAGTCTGGCTTGCTTTGGAGTGAGAGGTGATAAAACAGCATTTTTTTTTTTTAATAATGAAAAACAGTAGATGAGAGCCTTAGTTTGTAAGATTTTTGTTTTTTGTGAACTAGATCGTGAACCTCTAGAAGAAGGGGTAAGACATTCACATAATATAGCAAGATGTTTGCAAAAGGAATCAGTACTTTGTAGCTATAAGAAGTTCGTTTTCTTTGAATATTATTTTAATTAGATGTCTTAAATTTTTACATATTTTCTCTGAACAGTATTTTAATTCTGATTTTTTATGTATGTCTTTTTATTAGAGCAAATGACTTTTTTCCCCCATTGAGTTCATGAATACCTGTTTTTTATGATTTCATTGTAGTGCAGGTTTCAAAATCAGTAGAACCAAACTAGATACGGAAAAAGGACTTGCCAGATACTTCAGATAGTAAATGGCTGACTTTGGTCTAGGTTTTTGGCTGGAGTGGTAAGTTCCAGTGAGGACGCATGTGGGCAAGACAGGGTTGATGATTCATTGTTATTGTGAAGCAGTATTTTTGAAGTAATATGAACAGAACAGTCTGGCGATGTTACCTCATCTCTGATTCAGTGGATCTCACAGGAGAGAGGGGCTCATGGTAAGGACCCTGGGAGGCATGTGGGGGCTTCGTACGACTGGTTTAAACTCCCTCCCCCAAATTGCCTTCCTCTCCCGTGGGGACCCTCTATGGCGGTGAACCGTCGATACTAACAGTAGAGCTTTGCATCCCTCAGATGTGTTGGAACAAGAAAAAGGCTGAGAAAGAGTGATGAGTGCGCTCCATTGTATATTAGAGCTCAAGTTGAAAACAGATGGGTTCCCATCCCGGTTGTGTCCCTTCGGTTTGCCCAGTTGAGGTTTAACTGAAAAGGTTATCCTTGTTAGAGGAAAGAGGATTCAGGGCTACAGATTCAGGGCTCATGAAGTGTGTGAGTTAAAGCCTGTTTATTAGAATTTTTCGTATAGTGTTTGCTTTTCACAACAAAAATGGAGGACAGAAGCCCCTCTTGTTTCAGGTTTTGTTTCATAAAATGTATTTGTCAAATAACAAAAGAGTAACTGAGAGCTGACGTAGAAATTCTTCTGTATTGGAGATCAGTCCAAAATAAGAAAAGATGAGGCTCCAAAATTATAATGAACTCTGTGGGAAAGGAAGACTTCTTTTTATTTCCATTTGAGGAGCATAATTTCTATAAGGGAGGTGTATATGTATACGTGTGAATATATACAGACTTTCGTTCTTGGTTTGTTTTAGACTCTAAGTATTTTGGAGAAAGAACTGCAGTTTTGAAATCAAGTAACTGGATCCCATTCCTTGGTGTGGGTCTTTCTCACCACATGACTTTGTAAACGACTTAATCTTTCGAATCCTAAGCCTTTGCATCTGTAAAATGGCTGTAATAATACTTTTCTGCCTACCTCACGGGGTTGTAGTGAGGCTTAAAAAGGTACTTGTATACATAGTAACGTGCTGTAGGAGCCAAATAGAAATTAATTTTTAGAAGTTCTGTTCAATTTCTTTTCTCTTTTGAAGCTAACTGCAAGTCAGTATGGGCTAGACTATTTTATATTTTTATTTTTAAAATGTGTTTAACCTTTTAATCTCTGCAATCTCTGCCAAATACTCAGACATTTTAAAGGCACATTTTAAGCAATGTATAGCCTTCAGGTGTGAAGACGATTTTATTTTCATTCTTAATTGTTAGAAACATCTTGACCAATGGGCACCACTGATTGTATCCAATATGTATCTTCTACTTTACGCTGTATTTATGGCTTATGTGATAATCGTAATGAGTATAGTCAAAGGATTTTGTAGAAAGGAGGAAATACACTCATGAGATTTGATTTTTCTTGTTGATGTCTTTATATTTTTATTCTTCATGATTAAGTTACTTATAATTAGTGTTTGTGAATAATGTGATCTTATATTTAATTCCCTTTGGCTTCTGAACATGGTTTATAAAGTAATTTTCTCTAAAATTTTATTATTATATTTCAAAATCTTTAAATTTAAAAACTTATAATCTTCAGTTCATTCTAGATTTATGGAAAACTTGGAAAGACAGTACAGAGTTTTCATTTGTGTTCTTTATCCAACTTCCTTTGATACTGACATCAAACTGCTATATTTGTCAAAATTAATACATTAACATTGGTATAAAATACCGTTAACTAACTGCAGACATTATTTGGTTTCTATTTTTCTACTAATGTCCCCTTTCTGTTCCAGGATCAAATCAAGGACGCCATGTTGCATTTAGTCATGTCTTTTTAGTCTCCTGTGATCTGTGGTAGATTCTCAGTCTTCCCTTGTTTCTCATGATCTGGGTGGCTTGTCGATGTCCCTGAATTTGGATTTGTCTGATGTTTTCTGAAAATCAGACTGGGTTCTTGGGCTTGGGCATGAATGCCACCCTCATGGCATCATAATATCACTGGTCATGCTAGCCTGGATCACTCAGTGAAAGTGTCAGTCAGGTTCATCCACAAGTAGCAGTTTTCCGTTTCCATGCTATAGTCTTTGAAGTGAATCACTAAATGGAATCCACATTTAAGGGGAGGGGAATTCCTGGATTTCTTCTGCATGAGAGATTTACCTCTTTTCTCCCATTTATTTTTATCTCCATGAGGAGTCATAAATATGTATTTTTTTCTTTGGGTTATAATCTAACAATATTGTTCTTTGTTTTGTTGCTCAGATTGTTCCTGCTTTAGCCATTGGAGCTCTTTCACTTGGCTTCTGTGTCCTTTTGACATGCCTACGTCTTTTTTTTTGTATGGTTTTGCTTTTTGAGCAGTTTCTTCTTGTAAGGCATCCTCCTTTATTTTTCCTGTTGCAGTTCTATAGGCAGCCATTTCCCCAAGGAGCTCTGGTTCCTTTTATTGGAAAATGTTACTTAGAAATGATGATCTGGGCCCTGCATGTTATTGTTGGGGTGTCATTCTTCCAAGCCCACTCAGTGATAGAGGTAGAAAGTATAGGTATGTCTTTCAGCCCCCGTGTGTGCACAGATCTAGAATTACTTCTCTATCAATTGATAGATTGATCTATCCATTTACCTACCTGTCTATCTGTTAAAAATAAACACGAGTTCCCGCTGATGTCTGTGGTCTAATCCAGCATCACAGGTTTCATTAGCCTCCTTCCCTTGCGTATTGGCAGGGGGACACCTGGCTCCCGTGACCAAAGTTCATTTACATGTTTGTGCATCCTGAGCATATGTGTAAGATAGTCTCAGAATTGCTAACCTGGAGCCCTGCGAGGACTACATTTGCCAGCTGGAGTACAGACTTAGTTACAGTTTGTTTTGTCCCTAGTCACAGCAGAACTTACCAGTTAGTTAGGGCAGTACCTGTTTCCTTCAGCGTCGGTGAGGTTTTATCATCCATTTGTAATGCAGCCAGATTAATTTAATCTCAGTCTGCATTCTGTCCTGGGATTTCTCAGTGTCCTGGTTGATTTTTTCAAGTTTACCTACTATAAAGTTTCCTTTTTGTGTGGTATAGATCTGTGAGTTTTGTGCATTTTTTAAAATGTCAAATACCTGTAAAATATTTGAGCCATAGACTGAGATATGGTTCTTCTATGTTCCTTCCTTTTTGTTTGACCTTATGAAATATATGCATTTTCAGAAGAAGAGAAAGATAAAATGAAAATTTTTACTTTAGTGTATAAAAAAATCATAATTGCCCGACCCATTGCAGGTTACCATGCATATCACCACAAATCCTAAGGAGGAGTTTCGGTTATTTTATAAATTAGCTTTCTTTTGAATTAGAAATAA